GGAGCTGCCAATAGCTTTGGGCAAAGGAAGGAAAATTTATCTTGTTCCCAAAATACTGCAGGATGAGACTGAGCAAAGCATCAGCCAGCAGATCCCGAACCTGGCTACAGCAAGAACATCCCTGCAAGGCAATGCAAGCAGAGGGAGGAAATGAAACAACTGTCATCTGGAAATACGTCCCATATGTTTTCTGAGCTTGGCGTGGAGAGCAGAAAGGGGCTTTCCAGGAGCAGCTTTCCTAGCGCTAGGGCTTTGCGATACTCACCCAACTCACAGGTCGGCGAGCTCTGCTTTAGAGTGTATTTCTTGGGCATTGCACCGGAGGGTGGCTGCTTCTTGCTCCGCAGTTTCTGGGAGAAGATAGCTCGGGCAGCGTTCCTTCCTCTATATAAGAGGCGTCCCCACCCGTCCCATCGACTCCCCTCCCTCTCTCCTCCGCCTGCGGCACATGGGCACTACAGGCACGAGCCCTAGTCCGGCCGGCGCTGGGCAGAGTTCCCCCGGACAAGCTCAGGAGACAATTCAAAGTCTTCCGAACGCAATTGCATCTATTTCTGCCTTATCGTAACTGTAAAACTGTCAAGGCGGTAATTAATAGGATGGCTGCACGCTTTGATGCGGAGCCTTTTCCATGTTGTGAGTGGCAGCGCCGGGCTTGGGGAAAGGTGGGTTACACACTCGCCGGGGCACATTATCAATCTCGGACCGCAATTAAAAAGCCATTCGGTTGAGCATCAGGAGCGCTCCGGTGATTAGTTCGCAAGGCAGCCTGGACTCTGCTCCACTGGGGCTATTTGACAGATTAGAGCCCAAACTGGCACTATTGTGCATTTACCGACCAGTGGTACGTGCAGCAGTGATAAGACATTATCCCTTCCCTTGGCTGGATCAATACAATATATTATCACCGATTCCTGCTGGTCTGAAACCCATGAAAGCACAATGATAACCCCAGCGTTTCTCTCAAACCTACAAAAGGCCCCCGGTGCCTTTTTCTGATAAGCAACAGCTGAATGCGCAACACACACAAAACCGTATGTCCAAGGGTAACAGACTTACCTACCACCCAGCAGGGCAAAGACACATGCGTGCGTGACTGCCTTCACGCTGCTCCTGCCTCCCTTAGCTGTTGAAGTGGCTCATGGTGGTTTTGGTGGCTTTCTCTGTGGAGAAGATGGGATCCTCCTTGGAAAAGCATCTTTGAGAACCCACAGAGTTCACAGGAGAGGCCGGAAAAGCTGCAAATGGGAAAACGTAGTGCTTAGCTTTAGCAACGTCTGGGAGAACAAGAAGAGATAGAAAAGCTTAGAGGTAGGGTAGAGGCAACAGATCGTCTTTAAGGCTCTTGACCCTGTTTCTTGTGACGGTCTCACAACCAAGGGAGCAAACAGGACCTATACGAAACTACGTGGGAACAGCTGCAAGACTGGTTTGGCCACCCACTTCCCAGATTATTGGCACCTCACTGCCAAAGGGAAGGACGGCTGGAGGGGTCACGTGTGGCTCTGGTGCCTGGTCCCACATGGTGGTTTCATGCCTGGGTTGAAGGAGCAGGGAACGTGCCTCGTGGACCTGGATGGGGAGGGCTGCTCCCACTCCGGGCCTCGACAAAGTGAGGGACGGCTGGAAAACAGGCTGCAACTCAGGAGGGACAAAGGCGGGGTTGAATGATCAAAAATACGCCCAGGATGGGGACCGAGAGGCTGGCAGGAGCTCCTCAGAAGAGGGAGTGTGCTGGGCCTCAAGAAGAGGTATCAAACAGGGAAAAAAAGGCTTGGTAAAGGGGAAAGCCCCTGGAGGAGGGGACATTTCCCATGGACTTGAACCAACCTTGCACCAAGGGAAACCTTGCCGGAGCAGGGACCACGAAGCACTCGAGTCAGCTGAGTCTCTGTCGCGCGAGGAGCGGGAACGGGTTAGACCAACGCCTGCGGACGTGGCCTGGGGCAGGGGAGGGTCGAGGTGACCCACAGCCCCTCCACTGCGACGCTGGCCCACGCCGGGGATGCGGCGCTCTCCCACCCGCCGCTGGGGAAAGGGCAGCGGGGGGAAAGCCGGGG